TTTGGGATTCAAAAATAATCAATCAGAATACGTATTCGAGCAGTGAAATCAATAAAAAATGTCGTAAACATTTAACAAATAAAGTTTATAAATTTCAGTCGACGATTTGATATATTGAATCATATAAAATCACCACATGCTGACATTTACCGTTAGCTATGAAATCTCAAGTAGACACGCCAACTCTATGTATTTACCTATCTGACCCAATCTACCTGAATTCATTTTTTTCATTAAATCAAATCCACTTTCCCAGATAGCATCTTTCGTCGTGAACGATTTGATTCGGTTCAATTAACCCATTTGCGTCATTAATGTATATATACGCTCAATTTTCCTGGTCACTATCACCGGAGCATATATATATACACACTCAATTTTGTTGATCATTATCAGAAGAGATCAACATCAATACCACATCTCTGCGATTCATTCTTTCTTATGCACGTTTCATTACATTTGAAATATCATTTTATATTATTTTCTCTATTTTTCTATTACAAAATGCTGAAATATAAAGTTCTTTTTACTTTTAATTTTTCTAGTTAACACTAGGTTTATGGAGCGTGTCAGTTTGACGCGTATTGAATTTAATAAACATTATTTAGTATATGTTTACGTCGGCTTTGATTGAGGCAATTATACTAATATGTACTTCAATTATCTATTTTTAAATTTCTAATTTCCAAAATCCGAAGGAACGAACATTTTGCTAGGAGCCGTAGAATAAAATATACAATAAATGTCCGTAAACCTAGTATTAACCGTAATCGAACCACGATGTGACTCTGAGTCACATTTGAAATTTTTACTTAATTTTTTGATTATTTCATATTGAATTTCCAAAAGTTTTTTGGGACTTTTAAAATTTAGGCTCTATAAACAAAAACAATAACATTTTAATCGTTCCTTTTATTCTCATAAGTGACTGAGAGTCACATTGTGGTATGATTCGTTATTAAAACACATGGTACGATTAGGGTTAAATAAAAGTTTTAAAAATTGATGATAAGGACCTTTTTCTTCATACTTCCTCGCGATGTAAATGTATTCAATTGAAAAATCTGTTATAAATTTCTGGATCTATATGGAAACCTTGTCCTCGGCGCGAGGAGTCCGGTTTTCTAGGAATAAAGCATTAAAAGTGCTCACCGTCGCGAAAAACAAACGGCGCGGCGATGTTTGACGATATCCTCCCACTAAATAAAACGAATTGCCGCTACGTGCGCATCTAGCAAAAAAGTTCGCTCGCGGCGCCGTTAAATCAATAGCCCGATTGTGATTGTATAAAAGCGATTCGTCAGTCTACATTCATTACAACAAAAAACGTTCGGACGACGGTTCAATTCCGTTCCCCATTCATTTACCGCGGCAATCGCGAACCCGTTATGCTTTCTTTTTTCTCGTCGACTAATAGCAATGCATGCTCCCAATTATACACGTTGCCTGTAAGTATAGAAAAGGCTTAATTTTATCGTCCTACGGCAATTTATTTTATGAAGTGCAATGAATCGATGAATAAGGTATCTACGTGTTAAAAAAGCATGTGTATGGTTAACTCTTTTCCTGGAAATTGTATTCAGAAGGATATCTTCTTTCACTTTTTGCCGTGTAATAACGAATGAAATCCGTGGTAAAGATTTTTAGAACAATTTAATGAAAGTCAATGTTATTTATAATATATAGGTACACGTGAACAATTAATTTGCTACTCTCAATGTTCTTTATTTATTTGATTTATTTGAATTTATTTTACAATTTTATTTAGTGTACTTTATTAGGTCTTTAAAATACCATATTTATTATTCTCTCTTAATTATATAAAGCTGATATCGGCATAACAAATAGATAACGGTGACCTTGAACCAACGTTAAAAATGACATTATTGAAATTACATAGACATCTCTTATAATTAGTCATCGTCTCAAATCTTCAGTGATACTTACAAAACGTTAGATATTCAATTTAAGTGAAACTCTTTGTGGATACGTCACGTTGACCTTTACTATAACAACGCGGGTGTCGGTAAGGCAGCTATTAAAATTTCGCGTCCAAAAACAAGTCTATTTCCAATTTAATCCTCTTTCTCTCTCTTTATTTCCGCCTTTCATCGACGTGTTCCGTCCGTTCGTTGATTTCGCTTTCTCGTTCTCCCTCTGTCCATTTCCACTGCACTAGAATCCTGTGTTGCTTATCGCCTTCTTTTCTCCCTTATTCGTTTGTTAATGAAAACGTGATGAGACAATTTAAATTTGTCGAAAGCGCCGAGCTACGAATGCGAAACTACACACAACAAGTTTATGTATACAAAATTAGAAAGGAGATGAACTGCTGTTTGCATTATTATTGCTGATTCGCAGTTGAGCGTATCGAGAATCAACCAAGTGCAACACTTCTGCCGTTTTAAAAAGTAAAACAAATGTCAGCGATAGTTTTATTGAAGCCATATTAAATTTTAACATGATAATATCAAGTGCTTTTGAAGAGGCAATCTATAATTGAAAGAATAATTGATTGCAAAAAGTGATCGCATTATTTCTCTTTAAATTTATGATTCTAAAGCGTAATAATAATAAAAACAGGGTAACCCGCTCAATATACTTAATTGGCTCTTTAATTTCTTTTATACCTGTTTTCTAAATTATTTACTTTGCTTTATATGTAACATTAACGAATTACTATCGATTCTTTATTTAATTTGTATAAAACACTTTTAAAATCTTCTTTAATCACTGATCTCTAGCTGAATAGCAAGAAACTATAGGACTATGTATAAAATAATTAAAAATTACGATGAAAACTAAATTAAAACAAATCAATAGAAATATGATAGAAGTCAATAGATTAATTTGGATTTCGATAATCAAATTGATTTAATTCCTAGAATCGTAATTAAATTTTATAAAATTGTAATTGCAATTCTTCGAATATTAAAATTATTTGAAGAATTTCCAAATTTGTTACATATTCATTAATTAGTACTCAATACTTTTACCAAAAAGCAATATAAATACAAAAGCAACGTATTGTACATTTTGTCAGTTTGTGACACACGATTCAGCTGAACTTTGTGATTGGTAATTATAATTAAACAGACCTTGTACACGTGTCCACTACGTTGACATCTATTTAAATGCAACTGCAAGAGTTCAAAAGCAGTTAACTCTAATTCCAAATGCTACAAAACGTGTTTTTTAAACATAAATGCAATTCTCTTTCACAATGAACTTTCCTTTGCCAAATAAAATATACTTTGTCAGCAATAAATAAAACAAATATAAAAAAAAATCATTAAATAAATTGAAGTACCTCAACTCAACGAATCTCTGTATGCCATATTAATTATTTAAAAGGGAAATGTATGGAAAAATGTCTATAAAAGACATAATTTAGTACTTATTTATTTTCTACCTGTTGTCAAACCAAAACGTTTAAAGAGAAACACTCCACGAATTTAAAATGCAAATACTTAAAAATACCTATTAAATAAAAAAACAATAATTTTATTAATAAAAAGAAATAATCAATGATTGCTGGTTTAATCATTTTAAGGAATTGACATTTCTAAGAAAAGCTACTTTAAATTCACTAAAATATAATTTTAAAGAGAGTAGACACCAACCCCTTCAACAATCAACTTAACACCTTGCCTTATGATTTACTTCTCAGCTATAATCGATACAACTACTTTACCATTAATAATTTATTAAAAAAGCAACAATTTTAGGCGTATTCTACGTATATACTTCAAAAAATAATTATTCATAACAAAAGAATAATATTTATCCCTCTTAGATTCTCTTTAAGCAGTTAATGGTGTTCGACGAGTATATACGTTATCTTAAGGTTTGCAATAAAATAATTCTTTCAACCATGAATTCATTATTTTTTCAAATGAACATATAATTCTTGTTTGTTTGCTTCAGTTTTTCATTAAAATGTACCTTAGCATTCCTTTTGCGTTAGATGAGTACACACTTCATGTTCTGATTTTATCGCGTGCAAAACGAGACATTTTTAAAACTAAATTCCACAGTTAATAAATTAAAATCTTCACCACGGGTCTGAGACGTTGCTGTAATGCAAAAGGTGAAAAAGCTTTCAAATAAAAATTTTCCCAAATTCACTTCGTTCAGCCGTTCATCACACCGGCGTCCTTACATATCAAACACCCCTCGCGTTTCAATATAAAACTATTGGATCGTGTCCATTCGCGCCCCGAGTTCCGCCAAATGACGGTCAACTCCGCAGAGTTCCATCCTCTTCATCCCTTTCCCTGCCAACACTGTCATCATACCCTTTCCAAATCCAATACATCGTCCAGTAATTTGCGCCATGCTAATACGTTCCGAGCTGGTTTTCGACTGTCTTCCACCTTCCCGTCTCTCTCCCTCTTCACCCTTTTTGCTCCTATTTTTCCCCCTCGACGGCCCCGCGGTCATGCGTGCACGGGTCGCGGAAACACGCACAGAGAGCCCCGAACGCGTACGCCTAAGCGCGCGCAAATGGAATGGGAGGGGCCGGAGGCAAAACTCCGGAAAATTGAAATTAATGAATAACCGGCCACCCTCCCGGGCCTGCTCGCCGCGTAGTCGCGCCGCTTTGCAGCTTTCCTGGGCTTCGTGACGCAAGAACCCCCGAGAGCGGGAAAACTGTCGGCGAACAAAGGGAAACGCGCGATGGGAACGACGATATAACGACGGACACGAAGCCGAGGGATTGTCCTTCCTTACTTGGTTTCTTCTTGCCTGTCCTTCGGAAGCTCCGCGATCTTATTCGCGTTTCGTTACAGGCGACAAATGCTTTTTTAATGAGTCCCTCCGCTATCCCCTTCGTCTCTGCCGCCAGCACGCGAAGGGATTTTGTTCGGTGATGAATTATGCATCCCGGATGGGACTATCGAAAGCCGTGGAACGGCCGCGAATTGTTTAGGAATCCCTTTGATGTTTGTGAACACCGGGTTTAATATCCGTGTCGTTTCCACCTTGTTAATTTGCAGACGAACGATCCCTGCGAGAAGGCCAGAGCGCTGGCTGTGTCCAGGTCCGCGCTTTACTGTCGCAATCTGGTGCAGGAGGGCACGTTCGGCCGCGTTTACAAAGGCACTCTTGAGTTGGCTGGTCGTGAACAGGAAGTCATCATTAAAACAGTGACAGGTATTAATATTACATTAGCAAGTGTTTACCGTCGCGTTTAACGAGTTACGCGGATCAACGGGCTACGGATTTTATGTCAGTATGCATACGAATGTACGTATGGAGTATGATATTATGGTAAGCGAAACAACACGGTGTAAATAGACCATGAAAAATTGCGGGCGCGTGACGTACAGGTTTATGAAAGATGTAAAAATATACAGAATTTTGTAAAATATAACTAAAATTTTGTATTGTGGATGTTTAATTTACGGAAATTTTCTGCACGGTTTCCTTTCTTCATGGAGAAAATTACATTTTGTTTACATTTGTTTGAATTTATCTGTGAAGTTTTATACATAGATTTGCATAAGTATGCATAGTCTAATTGTGTAGCTCCTGTTTCACAAGTTTTGAAACGTGGTTTGCAAATTTTGTAGTTAAGTCTGAGCGATGAAGCTCTAGAAATTTAATTACAATGATGTTAAGTTAAGACTATCATGTGTGAGGAGTTAATACCTTGATAGTAAATACTTCTTTTGGTCTACAAAAATTTTCTTATTTTTTATTTCACTGTAGATATAAATTAATTATACTTTTCTCAAAAGAAGTGTATAAGTTTTTAATTACATGATAAATTACAGAACTATCGTTCGTCGTTATAAAAAAACACATATAATTTTTCCTCCTTATCTTATTTAATAACAAAATAAACAACAATGTGTTTAATCATCTAGCTTGAAAACATTATAATTGGAAAACTGCTCATAAAAATTGTGTTTAGAATATATATCTGTCATTCAAAATGTTTATAAGTATTATACTTCATAAACAACACATATACTAAAATTTTTGTAAGATAAATAAAGTAATTACATGTTTATTACAATAAAAACACTGTGAATTCTGCAGTAACTGTTCACGATAAAGTAGGAAGTCTTGTACCAACCGTTGATATTCGAAACAATAACACAAACGAAAAATGAAATAGATTAATCTGGGCAAAGAATTTCATATTTCAAGAGTTTTGTACTGCGCACGACTAAAAAATCCTTTGAAATATACGTTGACTACGACATAGGCTATTTATGGAGTAAAGACTTTTACAAATTTAAGATTACTTGTAAACCAAACATAAAATAGAATTTTTTGTCTATGATCTGTATTACCGATACTGTCAAAATGTCCTCTTACTCAAGCGCACTCTACGCACATAAGTAGAACGGTTAATTGATGAACTACGTAAGACTTCACAGAATTCAAAAAAATGAATGTTTAAACTAGACTTAAGAGCATTTAGCTTTCCAAACCAAGTATACGTAGCCTATTGTGTCTAAGAAGAAAGTCTGCGTTCTTCTTCTAAGAGGCACAAAAATACTAAAAAAAAGAAACAGTCTTATTATGTCTAAATATAATAAAATATTAATTATTAATAATTAATAACAAAACATTAATATCTTGCCCAATACCGCGTTGACGACAAGTAACATAGCTATTTAAAATTTTAATAAATGCAAGCCAAAGTAACGGTCGCCAAATGTTCGTTCATCAAAAGAAACAGATTGTGCCTGAAGCTTACAATCGTTTAGAAACTTTGAACAGTTTCAAGCACACCTGCCTTGAGTTTTAAAGCGTCAAAGCGTTATGAAGAATTGATGGCGCGTCCAACTAATGCGAAAACTTTGAACTTTTAGAAGTGGCGTCCGCTTATCAGGCGTCTTTGCTGGTGGTAGAGGGTTCCCAGTTGGCTGGATTAATGCATGCAAACATAGCGTCGCTCGCAGCCGCCTGCTTGGATAGTTCTTGCCCGTTGTTGGCGTACACCAGTACGCCGGGCGAGCTGAATTTAAAGTTATACCTTACCGACGGGAATCATCATCCTGTGACCAGGGATCTGGTGCATGTTGGCGCGCAGGTTGCCAGGGCGGGGGCGTTCATGCACGGTCGGGGGCTTTTACACAGGTAATTGCATCTGTTACTCTAACTTACTGTTGCGAAACTGAATAAGTTCGCGAAAATTTTGTTTAACCCCTTTTGCTGCAATGTATTTGCAGGTGATGTTGCACGGGCAGACAATTTAATGGTTTTTAATTTTGTAGAACAGTGAATAATTTAGAAACGTACAGTTTTCTTGCATAAGCAGTTTAAGTTGGTTATTACTGGGCAGTAATATTTATTTCACAATTAGTCGTACAGATTTTTGAACAAGTGAAATTGTATCACCACAAACACTATTTCTTGCACAATTATCACCTTACTGATTACATATTTTTCACAAGCGTGTAGCAACTTTTTCAAATAAATATTATTATTAATATTTTAATTTCTACAACTTAACTATACAAACGATAAGAAAAAAAGGAAACAGAAAGTATAGAAGTCAAAAGGCAACGTTCGAGATGCGTAAAAGAAATGGGAGATTGCCCTGTTCGATTAATAAAATGTTAAATTATTTCTCATCTAATTGTTGATTCTTATGGAATTCAATATTATTAGTACCATTTTTACATATTGTTTACGATATTTAATGTTTCTTTCCGAAATAATGATTTCTACACTGACAATTTATTATCAAATAATTCCACTACTGAGTTTTACATTACGTACTGGCAAGTGTAGCTCATAATTGTTTACATTGGCGTAAAAAACTCATGAATCAGATTCGTCATTTTAGCAGAAGGGATTAAATAATACATCTTAAGCATTAACTTCTTGATATTTAAGTTTTATTCAATGTATTACTACTATTTCGTTGATATTTTCGATATTCTACGGTTAGAATTTTAATATAATTAAAATAATAAAAAAACACATTTCAAAAAACATATTTCTTATTTTGTGTTCTGATCTCAGGATGTCGAATTGATGATTGATGATTGAATGTCCCTAAAAATTTTGAAAGTAATAACAGTATTTTACACATTATTGTAAAAGTATCAAAGGCCTTACAATATACACGAGAGTTAAAGGGGTTCAGCAAGAAATGAAAAACTTTTTAATCGCTAAATAGAGAAAGATATTTACACTTTACGAGACAATGCATGACCAATTTTGATGAAATTTATATGAAAGATAGTGTCCATAATAAATGCTTATAATTATAACTTTTTATCTGGAAATGGGGAAAACAAAAAATATAGTGATTATTGTTACATGGTGAAAAATAAAAAATTCTGAAAGCATGTTCAATTTCTTTTGATTCATAAATTACACTAACAAAGTTGTATGAAAATCAATTAACATTTAGCAGGAAAAATTGCAAGAAAAGTTCAAATTTTTAATATGTAGCGTAAGCAAATGATTTTTTTTGTCAAACTTTTATGTGAAATTAAAATTCCCAATTGCAAAGTACATAATTTAAAAGAGAATAACTTTTTTATCGTATAACTTCTAATTTTCGACATATTCCGAAAAATATTCTTTTAACACAACTTTGAGTACTGCTCATAACTCTCCATCATAAATGATTGCCTATGAAAAACTACATATCAAATATTTTTCCAAAAATAATCATGAATGTAAATTTCATCAAAATTCATATCGTTTTATTATCATTTCAATTCCATTAATCTTTCAAACAATTGTTATTGTTTGCAACAATCCTTTCTCAATGCAATATATTTTATTTTCATAAATATTAATTTCCTTTTATACATAAAGCATAAAAACATGAAGAATAAATTATAGAAAATTTCGCAATTAAGTTTTCAAATATTCTCTATCATAACTTCTGCTATCTATGACCTTGCATTGTCTCGTAGAAGTTTCCTAACGAGATTTTTAATTAAAAATGTTATGTTAATGACGAACTCTTTGTACTTAGCAATAAATTATAACTGTTTCATAGTAAATCCAATAAATATTACGAAATATTTAAATTCCAAGAGTCTAACAGTTATTGTATCCACCATCTTAATAATATAGATTCTTAAATTATAAAATATATACGATCGAATTTTGTAAACATGCTTTAAAAAATGTCTTCTCAAGTCTTTATTTACATAGACTAAGTCGCCTAATTAAATCGGATAATCGAGGTTCTCTTGTATATCTTTTTACATAACATTCAACATTTCTTATCACAGTAACATTCTTTTCCTTTAACTGATCTTTTTCAGTACATGTAAAGATGTAGACTTTGTTATATTATTATATTATCTTATTATTGTATTATTGTATTATTATATGTAATCGATTGTTGATTGTAGGGACATCGCTGCCCGAAATTGCCTAATCGAGCCAAGCAGTCTTCGAGTACGATTAGCTGACACTGCTCTGGCGCGAGATCTCTTTCCTCAGGATTACCATTGTCTCGGCGACAACGAGAACAGACCCATTCGCTGGATGGCCTTGGAAACACTCCAGCACAATCAATATAGCACAGCTACGGACGTGGTACGGTCATAATTTGTATCGAATGCCAATAAAACGTTGACACCTAGGTGTCTGCTGGAGACAACGAGCGATCGGCTTCCAATAAAATTCGGAACTAAACGATGGTTCCGGCATACGTGATCTACGAGTGTTTCCAGCCTATCGAAATTTATTCCACTTGTATCTTACAATTTATGTGCTCCGTCGCATCATAACTTGACATTGATAAGACGCGTCATCGTCTACTTTGAAGATCTCGTTGTCTACCAATATTTTAACACTTATGTTTCACTATTGATTTTCTCAAACATAAACGTTTCATACAGACAATAACATACCCAATAAATTGCTATAATAAATAAGTTATATGCTTGAAAAGCTTTTTAAGAAAGAACCTTTCAAACAACAAAATTAGAACTTTAAAATAATCAGTAAAATCACCCGATTTATATATCATCAAAAATAACTGCAGATAATTTAACGCTATTTGAAAGCTAAAAATAAAACCTTTATGGAACATAGTTAACATTAAAAAGCTCCAAAGATTAAATTATGTTTATTATTATTTACGGTACATTATAATAAGGAACTAAAAATTGACTGAAAATTGTAGTAAAACAGAAAAATGAATTGACTTGCTTTCTTTGTTTACTAAGTTAACACATTAAGAACCAGTAGTTTTATTTCTAACTGTACTCATTGACTAGGTATGTTTCTATTGAGGGATAAATAACAACAATGAAAAGCCGAGAATTCTCGTGATTGCCACAAGTTCTAGAATATAAAACATGAGAATCCCCGTGATCCGTCCATAATGTGTTAACATAAAAATACTATTTATCTCTTACGTTAGCTCCATCAGCCATCAAGCTAAAAGTGGACAGGGGCAAGGAGACACTCATGGTACTTGGGCCGACTCGGCTTCTGACGCATGCTCATTATTGGCGTGCGTCAATATCAAGGGATAGAAACGAGACCGAATGCGATGAAGTGAGACGTAACGATAAAAAGTAAAATTCTCTATAGTTGCATCTCACTCCGTCGCATCCGATCTCGCTTCCATCCTTTGTTATTGCTGTGGACCACTAATGACCATGCATAGAAAGTCGAGATTGCCCGAGCTTCGTCAGTGGAATAATCCCCTTGCTCTTGCCCACTTTTAGCTTGATGGCCAATGGAGATAACGCAAGAGGCGAGTAGTATTTTTATGTTAACACATTGTGGACGGATCACGGGGAACAGTCACAGTCCGCCAAAAATCGGAGGTCGAAACGCGGAACTTCAAAGTGATGCCGCACGGACCAAATACAAACATGCAATAAAGAAAATTTTAGTTGCAGTCATTTCAAGCTTACCTTCTCAGTCATAGTATCGATAGAACATCGAGATTCTTCTCATTAACCTAAGTGCAAACACGACGTAAATCGGTCTAGCTTTATAGATTTAGGGGAAATGAACCTTTAATTCCATTAATTACATTAAATCGGTAAGGCTACTCTGATTTCCAACGTGTTTTGACTCATTTTAATCATAATAATCTCAGAAATCCACTGGTACTACATTTGAGAAGGTAATATTAAAATGACTACAATTGAAATTTTCTTTATTGCATGTTTGTATTTAACGCGTACGGCATCGCTTTGAAGTCCCGCGTTTCAACCCTTGATTTTCGGCGAATCTATCCCGCTTCCACTCACTGTATCGATTCTCTGCCTTTGTCAGGATGTGCTCGAGTCAGTTACTGGAAGGAAATAGCTTCCTCCTGTATTTTCTGCTCGGTTAAATTCTATTGCTGAGGTCTCAAATTGTGGAATTTAAGCGATCATTACTGTATAAGTTCCATAAATAATCACCTTCCGCATTTTTCTCCTAGTGGTCATTCGGAGTGTTCCTCTGGGAATTAGCAACGCTGGGTCAACAACCGTATGTCGAAGTGGACCCGTTCGAGATGATGGCGTGTCTCCGCGACGGCTACCGATTAGCCCAACCACGGCCGTGTCCAGACGAACTTTTCGCCGTAATGGCGGTGTGCTGGCTAGGCCTGTCCAGGGATCGTCCAACGATGCCCCAACTGCTCGCCTATCTGCAAGACTTCCACGACGCTCTGGGCGGTTTCATCTAAAGCGAGGGTGTCTAAATCAGTGCCAATGGGCACTGTGGTGACACTCCCCTCGCGAAAAGTTACCCTCTCCCTGCCTACTTTTACCCATTTGTATTGAACACTACATAGAACTGTCCACATACTCAGTCCGGGGCAGCTTCTTGAGTAGAGGTAGTGGGTGAACACTGTTTCCGAGTTACTAGCGCGAGGGGAGTAAGTTAGACACCTCTGATCTAAAGCACTCTAATCCGATCGTTGAACTGATTGTTCCCTGGAACATCGACGTGCAGTAGGAAGATCAGCCCTCCGCGAGATTCTCTATGAGCCAGGATAGCTCCGAAGTGATCTGTAATCTGAAAGAACTAATCGAGAGGGACACAGTGACTCTTGTTGACAAGGCAGCACGGCAAGCTGATCAATGCAATGAGAAGACGGAATATCAGAAAGTACGCGGAGATTTGATCGGAATGCTCGATCGAAACAAAAGTTTAAAGTGGAAAATCAAACCGTACGGGGGTGAATTCAATGCTCGTTCGCCGATTATCGATTTTCCACGGCGATTCTTCTCGACATTCCTACGCAACGTTTTGGGGATTCTATTTGGAGGAAACTGGTGAATCAAAAGCAAAATCGTCGATCGGGCAGCCAGCACTCCTTGATTTTAAGTTTGAGCCGGCAGCCCGGTCCACGAAGAGAACGATCGACGCGTATACATCCGTCCATAGCAGTTAAAAGAGAAGAATGCTCTCTTGAACGCGCACAACGGTTTTTATAGCGTGACAGTAGATGAAACCGCGACGGCGCCTGCAACCTCGCAACCGCCGTGACGCGCGCGAGTCGCGTCTTCGTTGCACAGGCGCCCCTTCGAAATTATTCTCTGCTATATTCCCATTCTTTCTTCACGGTCTAGCGGATTTTCAACAGTCTGGAAACCGAGTTTCGATGAATTACAGTGGTTCTCAGCTGGGATTCTACGTATCTTCAGCGACCAGCTCGGATTACTCTGAAATTTTGACGGTATACAGTATACACAGCACCCGAAAATACGCGGCACTGAGAGGACATTTATCAGTATGTTGATCTGCGTCTCATACATCAGGTGATACAACTGTGGAATGCATTTTGGCTTCAGCCTTAACGTACGATGTTGTATGTAAAGATTAAAACATACACAAGTTTGGAAGATTGAAAATTCATGTATACATAAATGGAGGATTCAGAAGTCGAATATGTTAGTCAGATTTGCATTTAAAGAATTTTAGAAATGTTTCTATCATTAAAACTTTTTCGAGTTGAGACCGCAACTCGAAGGTTTAACGATGAAAACAGTTTTAAATTACGTAAAACAAAAATGTGACTTACTCTGATTGATTTCTAGGCTTTCTAAACCTTGGTTCTTGTAATTCCAGAGAATTTTAAGATAGCTTTAATTTCGAGTGATTCTGTTGTGGGCATTTGTTGGACTCTGAGTTTGGTAAAAGAATAATAGCGTGTATGACACGCATCATTCAAAATGAATTACAGTAGATGGATTACATGTAATAATGTTTCACGTGTTCAATTTCGTAACACATAAATTACATTAAAATGTATTCTACCGCGATTTTTTTTAGATATTTTCTGATTCAAATATGTACTAATTTTTTTTAAATTCGTTAACATTTGTTTTGTTTTTCTTTATTTATTGTTCCGGCGCACATATAATAAATAAATAACAGGACCTTTAAAAAATTTTAAATGCAGTAAAACGTCGGAGTTGTGTTATATCTTAAATATACGAAGAGGAACTTAATTTTTCAAACAAATATTTGTTCATACATTTACATTCTAAAATAGTAAAATTCCAATCCTTATATGAAAAGTATATGAGAAATATGCAAAACTGTTTTACTTGAAAGGTCTAATTTATTTAGATTCCTAGTAATCTCATGAACATTTATCAAGCATTTAATTATTTGAATTTCCATCATACGAATCGACAGTGTAATCAGATTTGATTAATCGATTTCGATTATTCATTAATAGTATTATGATTTTAGGATCAACAATCTAAAAATATATTTAAAAAAATAAATATTCGAACTATAAAACACATTAAAAATGACCCAATTTTTAAGTAAATGTTAAGTTAATTTAGTAGTGTTTATATCGTTAGTACAAAACTAGAATTGATTTCAAAAACAGGTAATTCCCCTAATTCCAATTGTAAATATTAATATATTATAACTGAAAACATGTGGTTACCTTACAATCACGAATCATATTATATGTTCAATCTTTGGTAAATACATTAAATATCATTTGGAAATTATAGTTGCATTTTCATTCCTTCAAGAACACTTCTGAATTTAAAAAAATATACCAACATTATTTTAGTATATGAATTCTTACTTCTGCAATAATATTTCAAATGAGTAGGTGAACTAAAAATCGTGGAAGGGTTAAATTAAATTATGTACAACGTACATGCTGAAACATTATGTACATCCTCGCCTTAAATTTGGTTAAAAACACGTTTATAATAAGAAAGATGCCACTTGAATAATTTTAAGGAAAAGATACTCTAAATGGATCTCGTACATTTGCAAAACATAATCTACAAAACCATGAAATGTATATTTTCTTTAAAAAAATATACGAGTATACCGTATCAATCAACATTCATCTATTAATTGATACTATACAAATTTCAAGAATATACGGATACATTTTCCTTAAATAATATTAATTCATTCCAAAAGAAACTTCTAAAACAAAGTCACATAAGAAATTTAAATATATAACTCATGTTTACATTACATGAAATGAATTTATGTATTGCATCAATAATTATTAAAATTTTCGATGGTAATCAGCATATATAAAAATTCGCATCATACGAACAAAACATTCTATCTTTTTCTTTCATCTGTTATACATTGTTGTCTTCGTAATATATCCGCGGTTTTTAGGCTTGCAACTTTCAAATTAATCACATAGGCGATATTTCTTGTGTAACCACGGGAGTAACTTTCCGTGGATTTCTGAGTTAATGGGAAATATCATTTGATGATATATGTAACAAGATGTACTTATATATTAGTTCCCTGGGAAAGTTCCTAGGTTTCATTCTCTTTTTAGTTAACACCTTCTAATTATATAACACGAGTAAAAATTGAGAGTAATTTATGATATGCAGTCTAGAGTACTCAACAGTTGACAATTTACAGCTGCTTATCTTCAATGATTTTAATATATACTGTCGGTCAGAAGTTTGACACCAATACATCGGTTAAAAGAAAAACTTCCATATTTTGTAAACAACTTTCATTGATAAACTTTGGTGTATGATAAAGGAACATTGACGTATGGGTATTATTCAAATATAAAAGTATATAATTTTTGTTATTTTATTTTATATATTTATCAGATATGTAATTTCTAATTTATGACGTTACATATCAAGTGGTTCCAAACTTTTAACCAACACTGTATGTATATACCATATTTTCATCTTATTAGTAAAACTTCTATTTTTTACGAACTAAAATATTGGAAAACTCTTATGTATTTACAAAATAATATATTGGAAAACTTTTATTTATTCACAAACTAATATATTAGAAGACATTTCTTTCTCTATTCTTACGTTACCCGAACAGGTGTATGGTCTTCTAAAAATTCCAAAGAAAAATGCATATGAACTTACAAATAACAATTACTCAAGTTATGTTTTATTTTGTATAGAAGTTTATGAGACATAATTGAAATGATTCAATGGCATAATCAAAATCCTACATTAAATATCATACATTAATTTCTAACAGTAATATCAAATCAATATTACTAAATGTATCACAAAAAAATAGTTTAACGAGCAACAACATAATCAAATTGAATTATATCTGCATAAATATTTTTGTGCAATCTTTTAATGCTAAATTCTCCTTGGAGATTAATGTTCTCAATGTACATTGTACATTGCAGATTAATAAAGAGTATTAATAATTAATTAATTCTAAATGGCGAAAGTCCCCCATAAACATCTGTTATTCGTAATCAATATTTCTTAATCATGGTTCTCGAAGAGGTTACAAAAGAATTTTAATTTTCATTCCCAAGTAATGTGTTATTCGAAACAGATTAATGCTTATTCGGCGGAAATTGCAAAACCACGAGATTCATTTATCGAAGTAATTAAGAATCACTTCAAATGTTGAGTCGGCGATTTCAATGAAATACCATCTCCACTTGAGGAGATTCCCAAGTGACTAGGTCATTAAACCGCCCGAGAGTATGGCTTGTTCGACAATTATTTGTTAGCGAACACGATTTCGAAGGTCAATCTTCACTGGAACAAGACCAAAAAGAAGAAAAAGCAGAAATCAGAATCAAAGTTCAGAATCAAACACGAATCTCATTATCTTGTTCGACCTTTGGCAAACATGCACTGTTACCTAAATATATGTGTATCTGTTATCCATGAAAGACAAGGTTTGGCATACATATTTCCAAGAAAAGAAACAACTAAATTCAAAGTGTCTTAAAAAAAGAACTGTTGGAGGTATCGAGACGCGATTTAAATTGATTCGGTATACTCTTACAGTTTTGTTAAGGTAACCCACGGAGGTCCAGTGTGTTCATTCTTCTTTTTACAACACATATCAATGCGGTGGTCCAACATTTTATATTAATTTTTGACATACATCAACAGATTTCCATCAATTATAGCAACAACGACCGAATCACATTATTGGAATTTTGAATTCACAAGAAAGAAAAGCAAAGCAACACTTTGATATATTCTAATAGAAAACATGAGAGAGAATACAGAGTGATAATTTTTGTAGGTCCATATCGAGGCAGACTCAAAATTAAATTTCATTCCAATCACTTTGCATTTTATACATTTTTGCTACAATTATTTGTAGATAATATTATAATTATATCATGTACTTTAGCGCCACCAATTTTAATTTAATGTATTTAATTGGATTAATTTTATTGATTGGATGTATTATTTATTATCTATTATTTATTATTTATTGCACATTATTTATTATCTATTATTTATTATCTATTATTTATTATTTATTATTTATCATTTATTCTTTATTATTTATTGTCTATTATTTATTATCTATTATTTATTATTTATCATTTATTATTTATTATATTAATGCTGTGTGCTATATATTTTGTACTTTATTGTAGTGAGAAATTTAAAATTCTTCGAATCACAAAGGGTTAAATTGAAACTACATACTTGTTGACCAACATATAAGAAACAATGATTCATTAAAATCGTCACTCTGAACAATTTTTATCTAGAAATTTTATTACAATAACCATGAAAGACATTGTATAAAATTCCAACAGTATACTTTCGAATCGCTTTAAAGTATTTCTCAATACTTAGAATGGTTCTTTTACAATGGAATGTTAAAATTATCTGCTTCATTAATAATAAATCTTCTTACATGTTCATGGCGTCAGGTAGCACAAATTACACAGGTTGTCAAACAAAGTGACGTTGTAGTTTTCGCAGAGCATTTCGCTCTCCACGATTCAGTACAGTTTCGATACCATTAGGCGCTGATTCTAAGTAGGTACATATGATCAAAAGAGACCGACGCAAACTGTATTGTGTAAAGTACGTTTGAAGACAAAATAAAATTTCAAGATTTTAGAACTTTTTAATACAGATTAAAGCGATTTAGGTGTTCTCTTTATAAACGATCAATAAAATTATACTATTACAAAATATCACTACAGTACAAATATTAAATTATTTAAATATTGTTATTTTGTTTTATAGAAACAAAAAGTTACTTCTCGCTCTTAGTTACCTCAGTTGATGTTCGTTTCTATAGTTTCCTATATCTTCAAACATTATTCAATAATATTTGCAATATTTATCGAAACTACTATGAATTTATTAAAAGAAAAATTTCCAAGCTCAACAATTAAATTCGAATGAAATGGAAACTTGTATCTTTCATTCCTGGTTACACTAATAAAATAATTCTTGAAAGCTGGGGTTCAATCAAAGCATCTAATTATTTATAATTTCTTATAGAATATATTTGTAACACATTTGTATTTAAATTTTGGATGAGTTTAATATTTGCAAATAGTTTCATCAAAAATAGCAAAAACTGCCATACCGAATAACGAACGTAGGAAAGCACAAAATCAAAATGAACTGCATTTAATTCTAACGACACACTGCCTTGCAAATATATGTATAAAAACCCTGCATCGATTACAAGATAAATTTGAACTGGCATTTCCAGTGTGTCACAAATAATATC